TATATATATATATATATATATATATATATATATAATAATTATGTCGTGCCAAATATGTAAAACTGGTCAATTAGCAAGAACTCATTTAAAATTAAGTCTTCTAAAATTTTCTTTTATACGTTTAAAGACATATTTTTTTCATTAAGGCTGATGTAAAAATTTATAATTTTGTACCAAAAGGAACTTAGAAAACTTACCTAACCTTATTATAACAAGAACAATTTATTTTAGCCTAACCCAACTAAATGTATTTTAGATTTGTTTACAATAATTTAATACTAAACAAACACAGTGAAATATATTTTTTTCGTTAGGTTCAGAATGATTTTGGCGAAATTACTGCATACACAAATTTTCACTTGTCCTATATGGCAAGATAAGCATTGCTATTTAAGCCAAGATCGCAAGTTCTGCCTATTCGGCACGACACATATATATATACAGTGGACCCCCACATAGCGAACTTAATCCGTGCAAGAGGGCTGGTCGTTATGCGAAATGTTCGCTATGCGAATTAATTTTCCCCATAAGAAATAATGGAAATAAAATTAATCCGTGCAAGACACCCAAAAGTATGAAAAAAATTTTTTTTACCACAAAAAAATGTTAATTTTAGTACACACAAACTGAAAAAGGCATGCACAATTACATGACACTTACTTTTATTGAAGATCTGGTGATGATTGATGGGATGGGAGGAGGGGAGAGCATTATCTTCTTACTGTTTAGAAGGGGAATCCCCTTCCATTAGGACTTGAGGTAGCAAGTCCTTTTCTGGGGTTACTTCCCTTCTTTTAATGCCACTAGGACCAGCTTGAGAGTCACTGGACCTCTGTCGCACAACAAATCTGTCCATAGAGCTCTGTACCTCCCGTTCCTTCAAGACTTTCCTAAAATGGGCCATAACATTGTCATTGAAATAGTCACCAGCACGGCTTGCAACAGCTGTGTCAGGGTGATTTTCATCCATAAAGGTTTGCAGTTCAACCCACTGTGCACACATTTCCTTAATTTTTGAAGTAGGCACAATGGATTCCACAACTGGCATAGGCTTCTCAGGGTTAGCCCCAAACCCTTCAAAATCTTTCTTAATTTCCATACTAATTCTCACCCTTTTTACCACAGGGTTGGCACTAGAAGCTTTCTTGGGGCCCATGGTCACTTATTTTCCAGAAACAGCACAGAAAACACTGTAATAATACGAAATATTCCGAGTGTATGCTTGAATGTTACCGCGGAGGCTAGCTGGTAAACAATGGGACGGGCGGCACATGTGAGGCTGGCTGAGGGCCCACATTGGACGCGTCTCGGACGAAGTTCGCTGAGCGGGTTTTTGTCTACTATGCGGGGCAAAATTTCAGCGAACAAAGCGTTCGCTATGCGGATTGTTCGCTATGCAAGGCGTTCGCTATGCGGGGGTCCACTGTATATATATATATATATATATATATATATATATATATATATATATATATATATATATATATAATTAGTTCATATTCCTTGATAATGTGATAGTCACGAAACGCTTGGAATTTCTCTATCTTCAGATGTTGTTTTGCATATATATAACATATATATATATTATTCACAACTCACCACTAACACACAACACACACATACACACTGGACCCTCGACATTCGATACTAATCCGTTCCTGAGAGCTATCGAATGTCGAAAATATCGAAAGTCGAATTAATTTTCTCCATAAGAAATAATGGAAATCAAATTAATCCGTGCAAGACACCCAAAAGTATGATTTTTTTTTTACCACATGAAATATTAAGTTTAATGCAATAGAATAATTACAATAATAGAATAATTGACACTTACCTTTAATGAAGATCTGGTGATGATTGCTGGGATGGGAGGAGGGGACAGTGTGGATGGTGTTAGTGTTTAGAAGGGGAATCCCCTTCCATTAGGACTTCAACTGGCAGCCTCACCATGCCTTACCACACTGTGTACGTCACTATGATTCTTAAATCTTTCAAACCAACCTTTGCTGGCCTTAACTTCACTCACATCACTAGTTGCAGTTATCTCTTTCCTCATTTCAATAGTCATTAGCACCTTTTTTCTCGAAGGGTTGGCACTAGAAGCTTTCTTGGGGCCCATGGTTACTTATTTTGCAGAAACGAGCACCAAAAACAGTGATAATATGGATAATATGGAATGTACCGAATGTATCCTTAAATACGCGCACACTGGCGAGGCAGCTGTCAGGTGTGCCACAGGCAGTATGTACTCAGTTCCTCAAGCTTCAACATCCGTGCACACGAGGGCCTGGGATCTTCAGTCAACTTGGCGTCCACCAGGACGTTGCCATGTCCCTAGGACAGCTCTCCATCGGGCTGCTAACAGAGCCACTGGCTTCTTGGACCTCTTGGGGAGGGTCGATGGTGCTCGTGCAAGCAGCAGATCCCGGGGCAACTTGCTGCTGTTTGCAATGGCTGTCTGCCGAGGAGAGACAGGCACCTAGCAACATCTGTTGTTGGGGCAATGGATGAATTCCCTGCTATGTTTGTTAACTGCTCATTACTCTGTAATTTGTCTATGATTGTAATCATGTGATAACGTGTTTATCATTCATTACCTTTGAAACTTGTCATGATTTTGACCAGCTCTACCTGGAGCTCATTACCTTTGTAAATTCTCATGATTAATGTGTTTATGATTCATTACCTTTGCAATTATTCATGAGTGTGACCAGCTCTACCTGGAGCTCATTACCTTTGTAACTTGGTCATGATTATGACCAGATCTAGTTCATTACCTTTGTAACTTGCTCAGCTATCAAAACTTTGGAGTCCAGTCCCTGGACCAATTATGTACCTCTGTAATCTTTTGACTACCGCCCACAGGATGGGTATGGGGTGCATAATAAACATATTAAACTAACTAACTGGCTGGCTTGTAAACACTGACACACACGGGGCAGTTCAGGCCACACGTGGACACGTCTCTTACGAATCGTATCGAATGTCGGGTTTTTCCATCTAATGTCAAAGCAAAATTTTTGCGTTAAAACGCATCGAATGTCGGATTTATCAAATGTCGATGCCTTCAAATGTCGGGGGTCCACTGTATATACATATACCTTCTCACGTAATTTTATATTGACGTTTTCATTAATAGCTAAAATGAAAATATTTTTTTCTTTATATTATTATGACTCATTATATTAGCTCATGTATGTAGGTAGGCCATAACATTTACACCTCTCACTGTGCTTCCTGGTTGGAGTTTTGGTTGGCTGTCCAAACTCTCAAACCGTTTTGCTAAAAACCTGACCGTTTGTTAAGCAGTTTTGTGAAGCACCTTCGCTCATGTAAGCACGGGCTAGTCACGTATCACACCTGACATTGGAACCGCAGTTCATACCTCGCCCTCTCTAGATCTGCTTCTTGCTTAAGTAGCACCTCTCTTGATAGCTACTCCTACAAGAAGCATCTGTTGTCACTCGTCTCTCTGGGTGTTTGTGATTTAGACTGTTGCTGGTAGAGTGTGTTTTTGCTGAAGAGCCAAAACTTGTTTCTTGCAACTCTTCACAGAACACTGTTCAGACTTAGTGATTTTTGGTGTTTTGCAGAGGTTGTGTGTCATGGAGGCACTATTCAACTCTGGTCCCAAGCCAATGGTTCTGTTCTACTTTGTGGTGGCATCTACACACTGTCGTAGTCGGGGATTTGTTTAATGCCCTTGTGGAGGATCTGCTGATGGTCCTCAGTTAGGGTCTTCATTTTGTCTCCCTGTTCCTGATGCTGTGCCGCTGCTTATTGCCGTTTTGTATATTGTTGTTGGACAAATGGTTCATCTTATGGTTCAAGTAAGCTGTTTGATTGCCTTGTTGGTCGAGAACTTGTATTATTTGTGGACTTCTTGTCAGTCACTGTTTAAGTCGAGTCGAGTCTTACCGAGACATAACGAGCACTTAAGCACATACACTTGTATATACATACTAGTATTATTCTTATACTTAATATCAACATCCAGACAGTATGCCAGTGTTACGAAGTGTGCCCTCAGCACTATATCTAACAAATTGTTCTTGCAAAAATATACACGTTGTGCCTCCTGAAAGAGACAATGTACAGTGGACCCCCGCCTTACGATCAGCTCCCAACTCGAACAATTATGTAAGTGTATTTTTGTAAGTGCTTTTGTACGTGTATTTTTGGGGGTCTGAAACGGACTAATCTAATTTACAATTTAACATTGCATTACAACAGAAGTGTAGGAGCTTATATTCTAAATTATTCCAAATACATAAATTTTGTGAATGTCCACCTAGATAATCTTTTATTTAGTTAGCTTATATTCATTCAGTTGTGATCCCCAAAGCAATATTGAAATTTCTTAATTTTAGTGGATGACCGGACTATTCTCCGACACTGTTACAAAACCAGAAACTGGCTAGATGCTCGAGAGGGATCAATAAGTTGCCATTCTAGTACTTTCTGGAGATGCGTATACATTATGAATATCGCATTTTGTAACAATGCACTAGTAGTCATAAGTAGATAAAAGTTACTTTGAGGCTCCCCAAAATGCTCTGCATAACCAGGGGCTTTATATAAAAGTTGTCAATATCACATTTTCTGTACCATTCTTTAGAAATAGTCTACATATATCAAATGTAATGCTGTCATTACATTTTGTATATCAGACAAAAAAAATCAAAGTGGAAGAGGAAGGGTTTGACATTTAAGTGAATTATTATGCGAGTAAATTACCTGTATGAGGTTTACTGGGTATTACCTGAATTGTTACGAGTAAGTAATTTGGGCCAGTTAAGTGGGGCTGAAGTTATAGTAGGTCTCTGAACTTTAACACTCTCGATGCCCACTTCTTCACCACTCTCACCAAAAAAACTAGATCCGACATTAAGTTAATACTAATTACAATATTAAAACCAGATACTCTGGTAAATTAAAATTGTGGACCATATATGATTAGGCTTGCTGGGTACACAAAAGAAATTTGTATTACCACTTACCATTTAATTACTGTAGATACATCACACCACCAGCCTGACATCTAGACCCTACACTGGCCAGCTAGAGACCTAAATGCAAGGACTAATGGCTCAATTCCCTGTGAGTGACGATCGTATCCCTTATCTTCTGCTATCCACATGTAATTCTTGAGGTCCAGCAAATTTCATGTCCCAATTCTTCAGCAGAGGACTTTAACATGGGTTCCTATTACAAATTCAGGCCGAAACCCCCCAATTTGGCTTGGAAGACACTGAATTATTAACAGAATTTCCAACGACAGTGTTCACAAATTACAAATGGCGTCCTCCTGGTGTCACTCCCCAGCTGTTCCACATCCTTCGCCCCCCACTTGAAATGTCTTGAAGGGTCCAAAAAGCATCACATTTTAATACGTAATTATATTTTTCAAATTTAAACATGCTAAATTTAGGAAAATTCGAATTAACATCGACTGACAGTTAACCCAGGGCCTTTCAAGGGTAGGTTCCTTTATGCCGGTGAAAGGCGCTCTATCCAGGTATTTCCCTTCCACTTCCTTGGATCAAATGTAAATGTCTCCCATTCTCCACACGATGTATGAACCTTCGCAAAGTGCCAGTTAACTATCATGATGGATGTGAAAACCCACGAGCCGTCAACAGCAACAGCCTGGTTGAACAGGCAAACAGAAAAGCCTGGCCCAAGGCCGGGCTGAGGTTAGAAAAACCCATTGAAACCGGTCACAGGTATACACCTTTGGGGTTTTGGGTTCCATGAAAATATTTTTTTTATATATTTTATTTAAAACATCTTAGTGTATACATTATGCTATACATAAGCTCACTGAAGCCAAGAAGCAAACTGTAAATGACAACTCCAGATGCAATACCCCAATACAAAAACAGTTCCACAACAAACATGCCACCGACTGGAGCCATATCACACCCCCATACCCTAAAAAAATGATAATTAACCTAGATAACCCAAGAAAGTTAAGCGGTGATTTACCTCTCCCCTAGGATGCAACCCCTAACAATCCACTAACTCCTAGATACCTATTTATTGCTTGGATAACGGGGGCAGCCGATAAAAAGAGGCTTCCCCCATTCGTCTTGACTTACCCAGGTTAGAATTAATTTTCAGTTGTGAGCCAAACGTTTTGACACTGAGCTAAGAATTACGCAATGAGTGTACTCTCCACTGGTAATGTGTTATCTCACAAGCTATATATACACAAACTATTTCAAGATCATTTGCATAATTTTCTCACTAAAATAACCACTCGCTGGTCTGAGAGATGTACGTAGCGATGAAAGTTGGGGGTAACAAACTTATTTTGAAAGCACCTAACATCAGAGGTCCAGAAGTCTTCACGAAGGAACTAGAAACATTCCTGCACCAGCTAGACTATTATTGTTAATTGGGCATGCTTGTCTAGTTATACAGGTAGTCACCAGGTAAGCATGGAATCACAGACCGACAAGAAATTCTTATACATATACCAAAATAGGATTGTTTCGGCCCGTCCTCGCCCATAAACTGCGCTTTGATATACAGTAGGTTCAAGACAAACTACACAAGTTATCTTTTACCAGTTTGAGCTGTGAATTGTTCTAGCTAGTAGGATACTGAATTTTTAAACTAAGAAAGGGTCGATTTCGTGAAGTTATAAAACAGGCTTTAGCTTTTAAAATGAACACCTTCACAATCACATCCTGGATGTCTAGCACGAGTACATTCCCTGTGGGAATGTGAACAAGCCTTCAGAAACAACCTTGGCGTGGATATAGCTGGCTGAGGCGGCGCCCTCTGTACAATTTCCTCCTTCCCCTCCCGCTCCGGGATTACCCCACTGACGAACCACTATACTTTTACGAGCTTGGTTATATGCTTGGCTAGATGTGGGTTCCACACTGGTGCTATTTACTCAAGGTCTTACTAGTTTGGTGAACAGTTATTTGAAGGATTCCTTGTTCAACTCCCTGAAGGCCATATGTACGTTCGTGTATGTATAAATGTATGAATACGCCGCTGAATGCAATCATACACCAACTTCATAATTAGTATAAATAATACATTACTCGACAAATTAGAAGCAATAATGTATTGGTTATGTAATAACGTTTATTGAACAATTGTGCGTGGGGGTGGGGAGGGAGAACCGAGTCAAAAGACTACGTAGTACGTATCTGTCAAATGAAGGGCAGTTATTACATTTAAGATTTTGTTTGGATTTTTAACCCCGGAGGGTTAGCCGTCCAAGATAATCCAAGAAAGGCAATGCGTCATCGAGGGACTTGTTCCCCCAGGATGCGACCCACACAAGTCGACTAACACCCAGGTACCTACTTGCTAGGAGAACTGGACAACAGATGCAAGGAAACACGCCCAATGTTTCCACCCTTGCCGGGAATCTAACCTGGATACTCAGCGTGTGAAGCAAGAGCTCTGCCAGCCAAACCAAGGGGCCCTATAGGAGGACACACTACACCCATAGGGATACACAAAATCTTGTAATGAAAGAATCATGTTCGATCCAAGGAAGGTAAGGAAAATTCAATTTCTTGGATCAAGATCCCTTCAACATCAAGAAACCTTCCAGGAGGGACCTCAAGGACAAGCTAGACAACATCGTGACTGTTGCGCCTCTACTACTTTACCACTATTAACCTTCATTTCCTTTAATATTACATTGCGTTCATTTCCTTTAATAGCTAAATTGGAAATGAACGTCCTTTTATTATTAAGATTATTTTTTGTGGCCACTGTGGGTTAACTTCTAGTATACCATGTCACTTGTTTATCGGTCTGCGTACCGATAAACATTAGGAGTCAAATCTCCAATAAACTGTTTGATGGTTATACCCCCCCCCTCCCTTTTCTCCTTTTGTGTCAATGTGTTGGTAGAAGTCACGTGACCTAACTAACCTCCACCTTCCCTGTAAAGTGGAAAGTGTGTGAAACAACCAGCTAACGAGTCAGACTCCTGCTCAGCTCTTGTAAACTGACTGCTGTTGATTCTCGTCTGGTATATTCTGTCAAATTGTGTAATACTCTGAAGACCAGATATTCTACTCCGAAGGAGTATCTGTATATTTGAAGTCTCTCTATAATCATGTATTTTAAGGCATTGTCTAGGAACTTGGAAATATAGAACGTGCAATAAGCGTTCTGGACAAAAATACTGTATAACGGTATAATTTTATATGCCTTGTTTGATTTAATTAACTGCTTAATTAAAAGAGCTTTTATTGAAGACTTACTATCCCTAACTTTCTGCCTATAGTTATGCTCCGATAAGAAAATAAGTACATGATAAAGGCTCTATATAGACCCGGGAGCGTAAGTGACCCCTACTATATATAAAAACCGAGGACATTAGCATGAAACGTGAGCCTTAACTCGAGGAAAACCTACATTTACTCTAATACTTCTACAAAAGCAGCAGCACAACTACAAGGACATTAGGTACATTAACCATGAGACCTGGTCCCAGACCGGGCCGCGGGGGCGTTGACCCCCGGAACTCTCTCCAGGTAAACTCTCCAGACCTATCGAAGGAATATAGAAATAAATAAAAGTACATATGGCCAAATCGGTGTGGCTTATTTCCATTTCCTTGGATTATCCCTTTCCTAGCAAGCGACCCCACAACAGTCGATAAACCCCTAAATGCCTACTTATTAATAGAGGAAATGGAACAGGTATAAGGAAACAAACCCAACTTTTCCACTCGTCCAGGGATCGGGCCCGGGTTCTTCAGATGTAAGCCGAAGGCATCACTACTTAAAATGATGCAGAGAGAGAAATGAGGCAGAAGCAAAATACCAAATGAGGCTGATAAACGAAATTATGAGAAAAGTAATCTAACAAAAGATAAATACCATAAGTTTATATATGGAAACTTGTGCCATTTTAGAGTTAGTATACAATGAAAGAGTGCGCACGATCTGACCAGTCCTGTTACCCTTAATTCTATTTAAGGTCAGGGGTACTCAGACCACTAATAACGTTACCCAGTTTACCACTATTTGTAGTGGTTTTTCTTGCAGTGCAGCTGTGAAATAAGTAACCATGGCTCCAAAGAAAGTGCCTAGTAAAGTTCCTGTGGTAAAGAAAGTGAGAAACGCCATGGAATTTAAGCGTGAAGTGATACAAAAATATGAGAGTGGTATGGAGGTGGTGGAACTTGCCAGGATGTACAGCAAGAATAACTCAACAATTACATCCATCCTGGCAAATAAAGAACAAATCAAAGATGCTAATGTTGCAAAACGAGTAGCTTTTCTAACTACACAAAGGACACCGATAATGGAAGAGATTGAAAAGTTATTATTACTGTGGATAAAGGAAAAAGAATTATTGGGAGACAGTGTAGTGGATCTACCTATTTGGAGAAGGCAAAGCTGTTGCACGAGGATCTTGCAAAAAATGCCTGAAACAAGTGCTGCAGTTTGTGAATTTAGGGCCAGCAAAGGATGGTTTGATAGATTTAAGAAGCGTAGTGCATACACAGTGTTGTAAGGTATGGTGAGGCTGCAAGCTCTGACAAATGTGTAGCTGAAAAGTATGTTCACGAATTCCCGGACCATGTAAAGGCTGAAGGATTCGAACCCCAACAAGTTTTCAATTGTGAAGAAACAGGCCTGTTTTGGAAGAAAATGCTAAACAGGACCTACATTACCCAGGAGGAAAAGGCACTGCCAGGACAAAAGCCTATGAAAGACAGGCTTACTCTTTTGTTGCGTGGTAATGCTAGTGGGGATTTCAAAGTGAAGCGTTTCCTTGTGTATCACTCAGAAAATCCCAGTGTGTTTACAAAAAACAATGTCATGAAGAATAGATTGTGTGTGATGTGGAAAGCTAATCATAAGGCATGGGTCACAAGGCAAATTTTCAAAGAGTGGGTTAACCACAGAGGGGAGGGGGAGGCCGCGATACCTGTAGCAACGTGGTGGTAAGCCTAGCCTTGGAACATTCAAATCTGCACTATTATTACTTGTGTCGCAAGAATGAGTTATTTACTTTTACACTGTACATTCAAGTTTGTCTTCAGACGCATTTAACT